CACGGGCCAGATGCATCGTAGTAAAACCGTGCCCAGCCCATTGCCAGCAATGGCAAAAAAGTCGCGACATGTCATGACATGTCACGTGACATTGCGAGTTTGACACCCCTGGTCTAAATGAACGAAGCAGGGAAAATCAGCATGAGAGATGGCTGAAACTTTATTCATTTTGAATGCACTTCCATTGCTTGATATGACCCCCAACTGCTATTTACTAGAATTAGAAAAAGGAAGCAGGCTGGTTAAGGAAATATTTGAATTCCCAACTTAATTAGGATAAGGTTACATTTACTTGCATACTATGAATTCCCAATATGGTTGGGTCAGCCAATCATGTCTGCCAGTCATTCTGCCTTACGTTTAATTTACAATATTATTTCAATGTTAAAAATACATTAAGAATTTTACCTATTTTAAAAACATATTTATCTGCATAAATAACCCCTAAGAGGTTGTACGAATGGGGTGTATTTCTGGATTTATTTACAGTGTAGATTATAGTCATTTATATGTTCTTGTGAGTAAGTCACTTTCAGAGACTTCAGAGCAGGCTGGGATAAAATGTTAAATATTTTATTCTAATGTAACTTTTAACTTATTGTGCATATAAAATAGTAGGAAAGGGAATTAGAAAAAAGGCGTGGATAAAATCAGTGAATGAAATGTATTGCAATAGTTCCTTAATATACATTTGTGGACCAAATTACATTAAATAGAGGGTCTTTTCCAGAGGTAAAGAAATGCATATAATGGATTTATGGATTGTGCTTCAATAAGTGAACGCTTACTTCTAAAGTGATGAATAATGATCACAAGCAACCATTCAAATCAAAAGTTTATTTTTAGATTCACAAGAATTTATAGCAAAAAAGAAAACTGCTTGATTAGTGTATTCTATTCCCTAGCAAATGGATCAGCATTATCACTTCTGATGATGGCGTCTGCCAAGAAAATGTTATGGAAATGGAAGAGGAAAGAATTGCTATAAGCCAGAAAATAGAGTTACAGAGGGACATGGTGTATAAATCATTATAGCTGCTACTCCTGAGTAAAGAAAAATTAAAAAAATACTTGCTATTAAAGTAGCACAGGATTTGACTGTTTTGTGAGGCATAGCTGCATAAAGCTGGAGAGATTAGGAGTTACATCACCTTCCTGACTTCCAAAGCTCCTCCATAAAATAAGAAACTTTATTGAAAGGGAAGAGCTGATTTTCCAATCCAGTATTGTGGACTTTTTAGGACAAGAATGGCAACAAGAAGACCCTGGAAAGCAAATTGCATCCATTTTACTCTTCCAAACAGTCTAAATACTATCTGAGAGTAAAAGGAGAAGAAGAAAACAATTTGCTTCCCAAGTTCTATTCCCAGTTCTATCTTTAAAACATACCAAAATGGAGTACGTAGTGGCAGATGGGGCATTTTCCAGGTAGAAATGAAAAGAAAAAAAACCTCTCAGAACTGTCCCTTCTGTTTTTATCTTTGTTTAAAACCCACCATGCCCACACACTGACAATAATTACAGTATATCAATAAAATTTAGCCGTTTAGTATCTTGGGCTGCTGAAAGATGGAAGTGGAGTCCATGGAACGACAGTTCTTTAAAAAGACAAGGATAAGGAATCTCCCTGGATTTTGGAACATTGATGAACATCTAACAAGAGGTAGTCTTTGCTTACCGCCCACCAACTGTTCAGCAACCATTCAAAGTTGTAACAGTGCTAAACAATGGGATTTGGGACTACCATTATTCCTGAATAATTCTTCCACATCTTGGCTTTAGCAACCAGAATTGTTGCTGCTAAACATTGTGCTCACATGATGCACTTTATGACTGTAACTGGCTGACCAACTGCACTCAACACATAGTCCTCAATGGAACTGCATCTACATGGACGGAAATATTAGGCCCAGTAATCTTCAATATCTTCATGAATGATTTGGATGAAGGGCTAGATGGAGAAATTATCAAATTTGCAGATGACACCAAACTGGCATCAATAGCCAATACTCCAGAAGATAGGCTTAACATACAGAAGGATCGGGACAGACTTGAACATTGGGCGCTACCTAACAAAATGAAGTTCAATGGTGAAAAAGTACATTTAGGCAAGAAAAACCAAATGCATAGGTACAGTATAGGTGTTATCTGGCTCAATAGTAGTAACTGAGAGGGATCTCAGAGTCCTAGTGGACAATCACTTAAATATGAGCCAGCAATGTGCTGCAGCTGCCAAAAAAGCCAACACAGTGCTAGGCTGCAGTAACAGAGAGATAGAATCAAGATCAGGTGACGTTTTAATACCACTTTATAATGCCTTGGTAAGACCACACTTGAAATACTGCATCTGGTTTTGGTTGCCCCAATATAAAAAAGATGTTGAGACTCTAGAAAGAATGCAGAGAAGAGCAACAAAGATGATTAAGGGACTGGAGGCTAAAATACATAAAGAACAGTTGCTGGAATTGGGTATGTCTAGTTTAATGAAGAGAAAGACTAGGGGTCTTTCTGATAGCAGTGTTCCAATATCTTAGGGGTTGCCACAAAGAAGAGGGAATCAAGCTATTCTCCAAAACACTTGAAGATAGGACAAGAAGCAACGGATGGAAACTAATCAAGGAGACAAGCAACCTAGAACTAAGAAGGAATTTCCTGACTATTAGAACAATTAATCAGTGGAACAACCTGCCTCGGAAGTTGTGAATGTTCCAACACTGGAACTTTTAAAGAAGAGACTGGACAGCCATTTGTCTGAAATGGTGTAGGGTTTCCTGCCTGAGCAGGCGATTGGACTAGAAGACCTCTAAGATCCCCTTCAATCCCTGTTATTCTGTTATGATATGTTATATTATTCTGTTATGTTACTGCATCCAGTTTTGGCCACCGCGATGTAAAAAAGATGTTGAGACTCTAGAAAGTTGATTAGGGGACTGGAGGCTAAAGCATATAAGGAACGGCTGCTGGAATTGGGTATGTCTAATTTAATGAAGAGAAGGACGAGGGGGGACATGATAGCAGTGTTCTAATATCTCAGGGGCTGCCACAAAGAAGAGGGAGTCAAGCTATTTTCCAAAGTGCCTGAAGGCAGGACAAGAAGTAATGGGTGGAAACTAATCAAGGAGAGAAGCAACCTAGAACTAAGGAGAAACTTCCTGACAGTTAGAACAATTAACCAGTGGAACAACCTGCCTCCAGAAGTGGTGAATGCTCCAACACTAGAAGTTTTTAAGAAGAGACTGGACAGCCATTTATCTGAAATGGTATAGGGTTTCCTGCCTAAGCAGGGGGTTGGACTAGATGACCTCCAAGGTCCCTTCCAACTTTACTACTACTAGTAGTAGTAGTAGTTATTGTTGTTATTATTATTATATCACTTAGCAATGACAAATCCAGTCCCAACTGCCATTGTAACATGAGGATTACTTGTATGGCTTTTCATGCATAATATTTCAGGATTCTTACAATTATGGTATTTAGCTTGTATCAATTAAAAACACTAAAGCACAGTTGTATAGCCCAAAACATTAGTTGCTTGTATACAATTTAAAAGTATGAAGTAACATTCACCTAAAGCCAATTTACTCCCCAAGAACTTTTGAAGTCAAACACCTCATCTCATTAATGGCATGCATTACGGACAAGAATGAATGAGATGGCATTAGACTCTGCAGCTCAATCGATACTGCACAGATTTATGCTTGATGGATTATGCAAACAGGCAGCACAAGATGTGACACAAAAATACTTAGAAATGTAGTTCCTGTATCCTAAAACATCCTACATTATTTCTGGCAACAATTAGTTCATAGTTTATCCAGTCAATATAACAAATTTTCGTCACTTATTGTTCCAGAAAATTGTTCAACCAATACAATGTGCAGGATTCTCATCACTTATAAACATGATTAGATATAACAATATATACCACTGTAAGATAATTTAAATGCTACATTAGGCAATATATGTGTACACATATACGTACATTTGTTACTTTTAATATTTATCTACTCATTCTAGTTTTGTGAAGAATAATTAAAATCTATACTTTTACCAGCTTGCTACTTTTCCAATTTCTGGAAGTGGGTATTATTTACAAATGCATGTTGATACATACTCTATTACAGGTAATACTCAGTTAACTACGAGCATTGGGATCAGAATTTGTTGCTAGCAACACAATTTTGAAGCACAGTGTCACATGACACCGCTGCTTAGTGACATTGTTATGGCATTTTTGGATGCTATCATTAAGCAAATCCTGCAATGTCATTAAACATGACATCACATGGCTGCCATTTGCGACCTGCTGCCAACTTCTCCATTGACTTTGCTTCTCAAAAGCTGGCACTGAATGTCCCACATGGCAATCCTTGGGGATGCTTCTGGAACTTTGTTGACCAGTCCTAAGAATGACTCGTTCAGCACCATCATAACTTAAAAGGGCTGCTGAATCAGTGTTATTGAGGTCCACCTATATACATATGTTAACTAAGACTATATTTGCAATAAAGAATTATTGACCATGAAAATGTCATGCATAAGGCTGAGTCATTATTCTATCTGCTGTTTGAATGTAAAAAGTGTGCACATTCATTTAAGACATTCAATTTTAAACTAAACATTACAAATATATGCTGTGTACCTTTCTTAAAAGGTATTGTTAGAGTATTCATAATTTCTACTGTTAACTTGTTTTCAAATTTATTATTGTAACATCAAATTATTTCAATGAAAAAAGATATTTTGATGAAATATTTGCTACAAATTTCTATTCTATCATTGTACAAGTTAATGCACACCACTATCATCTCATTTCTCTTCTTTCTGGTATTTAAATACCTTATAAATTAGCTTTATAGTACAATAAACATTAATTTCCTGTTCTTAAGAGCATTCATGCTGAAATTCCAATTTAAAACAGTGGCTTGCATGCATTTTCCACTACTAAATAAAATTATTTTTATCCAATTTGAAAAGTGGAAACATGAGAAGTTACTTACCTATAGATTATACACGCACTGTTCCTACATGTGTCACAATTGGATGTGTCTTGACCAGTCCGATATGAAAGCCTAAGAATATATAATACATTATATTATTAAAATAATTGCTTCTTCATTGTTTTAAGTGGATGGAGGGATGGAACCCAATTTTAACTTTTATTCTGTTGGTTGTCAGTTTTGTACCTGCATTTAGGCATATAAGAATACTTACACATTTTGATATTCAGGAAACACAGTTTGTTAATATATTGACAACTGAAATCAAGCTGCCTAAGCATGATTTACATATTGTGGATTGTACATGCCTGTCACAATGTTTTTATTAGATTTTGTCTATTCAAATTATACATATTGTCCAAAGGGAATGCAATGACATGATTGCTAAATTTTAGAAGTCCTTCAATAAACAAACTTCATTGTCAGAGAAGGCAAACAGATTGCTCTTGTAACTTGCATTCACAGATTTTGTGCTTCCAGCATTTTTTTAAAAAAAATATTATATATAGGACCTAAATGTGTAAATGCAGCTTAACTTAAGGCAATATATCGGTCATTTTGAAGTGAATAGTAATTGTCTAATACAGAGCTCTGATATAGGTTAAAGTTTGGTAAAAATGTAGGTCAAAAACATTATATTTATTTATTGAGAAAAATAATTCAAAACTACATATTTGTGTGTGGCAAAAGTATATGATCATCAGTTCAGTTGAATGCGAAATTAGAGTCAAATATTTCAATTAATGAGATGTTTCATTTTTGTCATTTGTTTAATTAGGCTCTTTTTATCTAGTTTGAGATTATATTTATGCAGAAATTCTGAAAATTCAAAAGGTTCACAACTTTAAAACACTACTGTAGGATGTAATACATCTATAATTAATTCATTGCCCTTATAAATGTTCTCTGTGCCTAATTTCTATCTTAATTTATTGCAATATGATTAGAGAAATCATTTTTAACATTATTTCAGCAATGACAAAAATCATACAGGAGATTCTAATAATCTGAAATTAAATACTTGTGTTGCGCTTTAATTACAAGTATTAATTCATGTTTGTTGTTTAGAATACAATGCTCAGCAACATCTATTTTCTCAATAATTTTACAATCTTTTTCCACTTTATGCTTGTATTGAAAATTGTATGAAAATGCAACCATATACAAACTATTAGGTGAAACCAAGAACCTTCTGTGAGTAACCAATCAGGATGGCCAGTGAACTGTCCCAAATCCCTTATCATAGCTGTTACTTCATTGCCCCAAAAGCAAAGAGCAATATTGGCTTTTTGGTTGTTGTGTGAGGGTTTCTCTATAGGAATCATTAATGAATTGTGACATGAGAATAGATGAAACCCTCAGTGATGTCTATGAGGTGGTGGCCAGCTAGATACAGACTAGTGGTGCTGCTGCTCCTAGGGAAAAGTGGGTATATAGGAGAATACTTAGTAGAATAGAACAGAGGCATAGCAACAGATCCTCATTTAATGTTAACTTTCTTGGGCTGTCCTTGTACCTATACTTTCCAGTTATTATACTGAAGCTGTTCTAGTTGAAACAAAACAATATACTTGGAAGGTATAAATGATAGGGATGAGCCACTGGATGTCCAAGATAGAAAATGAAATTTGGGTCTTATTTATGGCAGATTGGATGTCATAAATGTCATCCATGAAGTCTGTCAAAAATGTGCCTCTTCCCCTTTCCCTCTATAAAACCTTGTCACCCAGTATCAGTATGTCACATTCATTTCAAATGAATATTATATTGTTCATTTCCATAACTACCCGTGTTTCCCTGAAAATAAGACCCATTCTTTTTTTTTTTTTGCCTCCAAAAGAGGCACCAGGTCTTATTTTCGGGAGATGTCCTTTCCACTCATCTTGTCATGGTGGCACCAACAGCTCTGCCCAGCTGGCCCACTTCTTTTATGACCAAAGAAAATGTCTCTGCAACTGAGAATGAAGCTCTGGCCTGCATTTCGCCATCAGAAGTCTTTCCAGAAGGCCTCTGACAGTGAAATGCAGGCCAGGGGGACACCACAGAAGTGGGCCGATGAGGAAAGGCAGGTATTGATTCATAGGAGGCCTGGCTATACAGTAAGTGGTGCAGGGTGCATGGGACAGCTCCACCCTCACCCCTGCCTTAGCTTGATTTTTAGGCGTGCGCCTTGCACCAAAACTAGGGCTTATTTTTGGGGTAGGGCTTATCTTAGGCCCACCCCAAAAAATCAAGCGAGGGCTTATTTTCAGGGTAGGTTTTACTTTTGGGGAAACACAGCACAAAACTTTCAGCTACACTAATTTCTATTAGCTGCACAAACATTTGAGTGAAAGAACAGCACTAGTTCCAGTTATGGCAAGACACACAAAATATCATTTGAAGGCTAGAAATACGATGACCAGTGTTATTGCTAATACCAAGGATCTATTCTTCCACCACAGGACTCCCAGAATTGGGTTCAGATTTAGAGATGCTTTAAGTATTATTAATATCTGTAAACTGGTAAAAGTATTGAGTTCTTAACAGTATTGGGTTCCTTCCCCAATAGCGGGTTGCAATTTTTTTATATACCTGCTTTCATTATATCATGACATCATTTTTCAGACCAAGAGGAATGTATACATGTAAACAAAATATAACACCCCTCCAAAAAAAACCTCCCACCCTTGTTAAATCAATCAGGCTATAATCTTTAATTTCAGCCTTTCTTACTCTAAGAAAAGGCAAAATACTTATGTACATATTATGTGGCCTTGAAATATGAGAAACTCTGAAACAAAGAAGCTATGCTTAACATTCTTGGCAGTCATAATAATTTCATGGATATTTATATATTGTCTTGCTTTTACTTTTATTTATGAGTAAGTTAGAGGCTGCATCATTTTAAATCCAGTTAAGAATCCAAAGAAGTTTAAATGTGGTATCAGGTAGAAAAGTGACCTTTAAATTTGCTTTCCTAAAACTTCCCAATTTATGTAGCCATACATTATCCTTTTATTTTGCTAGAGCTGTCAGATATACAACTACATGGAAAATGAAATAGTTCCTTGCCCCTAAAGCTCTCAATTTTTATTCAGAGTAAAACTGGAGAATACACTACACTCAATTGCTGTATTTCTTTTCTTAAATTAAGCTTTTATTTCTTTTCAAGAAAATTTCTTTTCTTGTGAAAGTAGGTAAGGTTTAAATACGGTGTTTGCTATTGAATAGAAAATTAGAAAATTGACTTTACAACTTGGATCACTTGCCTTTCTGGCTCACAATACACAGTAACAGTGGTTGTCCTGAGTTCAGATACATTCAGTTTATCTTATTATGATCACAGACTAGTTCAACCTGCGAAATATTTTCTAATTCTAACTGACGATGCATAGAACTGTACAGTACCAAAGATCTTCTGCATTCATTACATTTCAAAGATATTGTGTGGCTTAAGGTCAAACCTAAAACTAACCAGCTCCAGGAATTCCCATCTATAGCTCCCAATATTAGGTATTTTCCTACACATTTTCCTAAATCTATTGAACTTTCCATTTGACAGAATAGTTTAGCTGTCTCCAAAAACAAGGGTCAAAATTTCTGTCCAGGCACCCCACACACCCCAGTGTGCTTTAGTCAAATGAGTCTGGGTGATGTAAATTTTTATTGTAACTTCACAACTGACAATTGGATGAACTTAAATCATTTACATAATTATACAAGTGACATACAATTTATGACTTATGATGTAAATTATGATTTAACTGCTATGTGGCTTAATTGATAGCTATTCCTGATTAACATGAGGTTTTTATATATTCTTTTAATGTTCTGAAAAGAGTTCATGCAAACATAGCTTTAGTTCTTTAAAAGGGAACAGCTTCCCTTAGAAATATAATGGGCCAGAAATACAAGCCTTTTCTTTTTCACATAATTGTACAGCTAGTTCAAAAAGAAAAAAAAAACTGAGTCTGAATCATAGGAAAATAGTCTTTGTGTGGTCTTTAGTATAACAACTTATATTATGTGAAGAACTAGGCCCAGGACAAATTATTTTCTTCAGAAGCTGGACCCAATGACAAGGCTTTCTGAGTCACATCTACCAAATTGAAATGTCATTTTCAATGAATAGTTAGTTGAACAAAAAGCATGCTTGTCATAAAAAACTGTCTCTGATGAAATCCCCATTCTGGTCCAGTATAAGCTTTCATATTTATAATTGATTCTGAAGGAGCTTAGGGCTCTTTTTGCTTTTCCTGGATACCTGAACTTAAGAACATTTACTGGACCACTGCTGCACATTATAATATGTTCAATATAGGGAAGTTTCTAATACATTTGTCTCTGGCTAATAAACTTTTAGAGCAATATTTTCTCAGACTTTATCAGTAATTAGCCAGAAACTGAACAATGTAATTACAATCACTCAGGTCTTACTCAAGAAGAAATGGTTGCATAACATATTCTATTGAATCCTAGCCAAATTAATTTAAACAGAAATTACTTGATTTTCAAGGTTAGGTACACTGATAAAATTAATGGTATTACTTATACAACAATTTCAGAAATATGTTATCAGTGAGAATCCCCAGCTGAATTAGTTCTTTAGCTGTTCAGTGATTATTCTATTTCACGAACTGTGGCTAAAAAGCTCTTGCCCAAATGCAGAAATTAATAACACCCTAATTATATATATAAAAACTTTTTTGTCCAATTAGATTCTGAGGAACATCATAAGGTGGCCCATTTTGGGGTCAGTAATGCTAAATCACAAATTATGATTTATTTAGTTCTAATTACAATTTGCTACAATGAACATCCCATTTTAAGTATGGTAAATGGTAAACATCACCATTCCAAATAATGATTATAAATATTACTACCTCTTATCTTGTATGGATTGGAAAATTGGAATCATTTAAATATGCTTTTAGTTACATTACTATCTGTGCACTTAAGAAAAAAAAATGCAGATAATCCTCACTTAACAACCATTTGCTCTGTCACTGTTCAAAATTATGTGTGTCGAACAATATGTGCCTGAACTTACCACTCTCTGTCACATGATTGCGATCTGGCCCTTGTCAACC